TGGTGTAACCCATGCTGCTGGTTAGAGCTGCCTTGGGGTTGCCCTGGGTTGCATGCACTTTCACCCCAGGCTCTGGTTGCAGCCAGGATAGGCTGGGCATGGTGGGTCCTGGCTATGCCCTTCCACTGGCAACCAGCCAGGTGGGTCTTTCCCACCTTGCCTCCAGGCATGCTGGGAAGGAAGCGCATTATAAAAGCCCTGTGCAGTGGCCCAGCAGACTCCTTGGGTGAGCACTGGGGAGGAAGCAGCCCTCTGGAGAACCAGCCCAGCGCACCTGCCTGTGGGCTGTAGCCCGGCCAGGTGGGAGCTGCCTGTTTCAGTCCGGTTCTGGGGTGGAAGGGGGGTTCCTTTGCTTCCTGATCACTTGTGTATGACGGGTTAAACCTCCGCTAGGACTGAGCTGTGTTCTCTCTCTCCGAATACTGTACGCACCGCCTCGGAGACAGGCGCCCTGTTCCTCTCCCAAGGTCCTGCTTTTCCTAGGATGGTGGTAGACCCCGGCATGCTATAAAAAGGCTTGCGGTGCCAGCTCTGACCCTCTCCAGCCCCTGGCCCAGCTGCCCTTTTTGCAGGGGATGACCTGCGTCCCTGCCCCTCCAGGAAGGGTCCTGTGAGGAAGGGCTGTGTCCCATGCTCTCCTCCCGCCTCCCCCCAGCTCTGGGCACAGGAGGCAGCAAGGAACAATCATGCAGCTGTGCTGGGATGACGCAATCCTCTGCCTTCCTTATTATCCCCCTCTGTGCAGGAGCAGCACATTCAACCCACTCCGAATGGGGCTGCCAGGAAGGGGCTGGTTCCCCGGGCCTCTGATGAGGGATGGTTGGTGAGCACGTGGGGTGCAGGCTGTTCCTCCTGTGACGGGCTAGCTGGCAGTGACCTGGCCCAGGGGTTTTGGAAGGGCAAAAGATGACTGGAGGACTTGGGATTCCCTTTCCTCACCAATCTGGTAATGATTTGGTGCAGGGGCTTTGAAGGCGTAAAAGATGATTGGAGGACATGGGATTCCCTTTCCGCACCAAAAGGGCCCCAGAGACTCCCGCCCCGCGTCCTGATTGGCCCCTTGGGTCACCTGGAGGGGGGTAAAGGGGGCAGGTGGGCTGACTCAGGGGAGACACCAGTGAAGGATAACAAAGAAGGAGCTTCACAGAGCTGAGCCAACGGGGCAGGAGCAGTGCCCCAGAAGAGCCTGGAAGAGCAGGACCTGCAGGCAGCAGCGGGACCCTCAGCAGCGCAGCGTGCTGCTGGCAGGAGAGGCTCCCCACTGGGCTCCAGGATCCCCAAGGAGAGGCTGCAGCCAGCAGCAGAGGCTCCCCTGCTCCAGCCAGGATCTGAGCAGTGATCCGAGAGGTTCCCAGTGCTGCTTCCAGCTCCTCCACCCAGAGGCCAGGCAGCTTGATGTGAGGACAGGCTCTAGGCAGGTCAAGACCCCTAGCAGGCTAGAGCAATGCCACCAGTGGTGGCCATGTGGCAGAGTGCCTGCCCACCATGTGGGAGATCAGGGTTCAAGTCCTAGCTGAGGTGACTTGGGGTGAGTGAAATAACAAGAAGCCTTCTTGCAGTGTCTAACCTTTGTCGAATCCTGCCCCCATGGGGCATTGTAGTGTCTGTTATACCCCCTGATTTATACCTGTTATGTTCCCAGTAGTAAAAGGCATATGGTTAAGTCCCCATTGGTGCTCTGGCCCTGCTCTACAGGGGGAGGAGAGTCCCTACACCTCCCACAGCACTTGTGCACCTGCTTTGATCCCTTCAATGGGAGAGGGGGTACCTCTTGGAGTACTGCCTGGGTTACGCTCCCTTCCCTCTTCCTCCCTGGTGATCTGGCTTCTCATGCTGATCTGAGTTCAGTACTGCTGAAAGTCTCCTGCTTGAGAGCCCTGCAAGCTAATGTGTCCCTTCTGCCTGGGCAGCAGCAGCAGGGCCAGCAGCCCCTTGGGCACAGTGATGATGGTGGGGCGGTTGCTACTGGGCTACAGCTGCGCTAGGGACTTGGTGGTGGTGGTCAGCAGTGTGAGTGCATGGGCTGGCATCTGGAATTGGTGGGGGGAGAAGGAAGGATCTTTGTGCCAAGTTGGGTTCCTATTGCAGTCCGGCTGATATCCAGACGCAGCCAGAGCGCAGCAGCTTCAGAGAAGCTTTTGCAGAGAAGTGAGGGCCGAGAAGGTAAATGTTCCCTCCCCTGTGCCCGGCTGCTCCCCTGGCTGCAGGTACTGTGCGCTCCCTGCTTGAGGCTGGCACCGCCCGTGTGAAACTGTGCCCTGACTGCAGAGCCCTTGTGCCAGCAGTGTCACACGTGGCATGAATCATCCTGGGTGGGGGTGGGGGAAGCCTGAACCAGCCTGGCGCTTCGGGAAATGGAGGCGAAAGGCACGCTGTGCTGGCAGAGCTGGGTGTTGGCAACTCAGAAGCAGCTGCCTGGGAGCTGCATGGCTGCAGTGGGGGACAAAGAGGGGCAGGTTTCTGGGTCCTCTTGGTGTTGGGAGGAGCAGGTGTATTGTGTGTGGGTCCCATGGGGCCTGCAACTGAGGGTGGGCACCCAGGCTAGGCAGGAATGTGGTCTGTTTAAAAGCTCCTCCCAGCTCAGGAATGGCTCCAGGTTTGGGCTGCGGTGCCCGTGGTTAATGCAGATTGGGCAGGGCATGGAGGAGGTGAAGAACTACCACAACTTCCCCCCCTGCACAGCTGCTCTGGGCAAATGCTGCTGAGCCCCCTCAAGGTCATGGAGGGCAGCGTGTTCCTGTCCCAACTGCTGGAGATGAGGGGGGAACAGTGCATGTGCTTTTCCTTGCCCCCAAAGGGAAATGGGGATGGGCTTTCCAAGCCTCCCAGGGCAGGAGGAGCAAGCTCCCCCGGGCGGATGTCTCTGCAGGTGATGGCTGCAGTCATGTGAACCCAGGCAATGGCATTGCCACTGGCATGCTGTATGTCTGTGCCTCGGTTTCCCCCATCTTATAGGGGGACTGAGGCACAGAACAGGCTTCCTGCCCAGAGGTCTCGGTGCAAGTCCTGAATGGGGCTGGGATTTATATCCCAGCTTCTGGTGTCCCAGTTAGGTGCTCTTCCCACCAGCCCTGCTCTCTCTCTGATGCATCTCCTGCCCTGCCCTGGCTCCAGCACCCCACAAGAACTCTCCAGCTCCGTTCTCTGAGCGACAAGCTGGTAACGTGGCCAGAGCGAGGGGGAAACTAAGTCATGGGGCAGGAACAGTGCCTCCCACCACCGTTTGGAGCCTGCTGCTCTCTGCTGCCTGAAAGATTTTTGCTTCTGCTGCTTGGTACATGCAAGAGCTGCAGCATCAGCTGAGATCTGCAGAATGCTCCGGCCGATTCTGCTGAGATCTCCACTCCCAAATTGGTGGACTCCAATAGCCATTAACCTTCGCTCATGGTCTGAGGCCAGAAGGGGCCTCTCCAAGGGCAGGGTGCAGGCCTCCCTACTGCAGCGAGCTCCCTGCCAGTCACAGGAGTCGGGCAGAGCAGTGTAGAGCCCAGGGTGCTGGGGGGCGGGCATGGCAGCCAGCTGCACGGGGAGCTGAGAAGGGCCCAGACTCTGGGATTCAGGGGCTGGAGTGGCTCCAGGCTTGGAAAGGGGCTCAGCTGGCTCCACTGATTAGGGGGCTACTCAGGTGCTGGGAGCAGGACATGAACCAGGCCTCCAAGCTGGGCTG